TATTTACTCAATTCGTGTCTTTTAATATTTTCCACATTTCCATTTAATATAAATTATTTTATTTATCAAATAAAAATGAAATTTTTTTTTATCAAGGTATCGTTTCAATAACCCCAATTTTTTCTGTTTTAAAGAAGAAAAAATAAATATTTTTCACTTTATATAAATTATTTTTAAAAATAAATTGTCAAAATATGAACCAAAAGTATATATTCCTTCCTAATCGCGCAGCCCGGGTTGAATAATTTTTTCGCATAAATTAAGGATCGCCGGCCCGGTTTTAAATTTCTTTATCGACACCGGTTTTTTCAAATTCGGCATTTTAAAAGTTTATTAACCAAATCTCGAGGCTTAGACAATATTTTTCTGGTTAAAATATTGAGTTAGCCGTTTTTAACAAATCGGCTCAAGTCGAGCCATTTAACAACACTTATGATATGATGGGGATCCAATTGTTAATACACAATATGGATATCAAAACACGATTCGTTTATAAAACCGGTTTGTTATAGAAATTGACGGTTAGAGTCGCTTAGTTCGTATTCGGCTGGTAAATAACATCCGTAAATATTTTTACCGGGACCGAGAAATTTTAAAAAAATATTAATCTGGCCTTGAATGGGTCTATAGAAACGTTCAACTCGAACAGGGTAACTTGCGCAATAAATCCGAGCCGAGTCCGGTCGGTTTTGGAAGATATCCGATAACCGAACAACGAGATATAAAAATGCATTTTTTTTCAAAAATTTTTTTTATCCTTCATCCCGCGTGCATATAAAATAATATTTTTTAATAATTTATTCCAAAAAAAAAAATTTTTTAACCATATATAAAAATAACATTTTTATTTTATTGCAATTTTATTTATAATTTTTTGTAACACCAAAATGCAAAAAATATCACTTTTTATTTCTTTTCCCATATTTATATTATAAATAATTTATCAAACACAATTCCTATACATTTTACTCTCTTCCCAAATGACAAAACTTGTAAAGATGGCCACTTGGTTCGGGGTTAGAGCCCATCCTCCGCGTGAGTGAATACGCGAGGAAGAAACTCACTTACCTCCTCCCCTCCTCCCAAACGATTTTTTTTATAAAAAAAATGTATCATGTTACTCGTTACAAAACATGTAAACCAAAAATGTGGTTGGTTATAAATTAAGAAAGAATGCAAATGCACCATAAACATGGCATCGGTGTAATAAAATATGTAGTATATTTTTATTATTATTATTATTATAATGTTTTTAGTTATTGCAAAAGATATAAGGGTCGTTGTACTTGGTATAATTTTTTTGTTGCATTATAATATGGAAAAGGGAAGGGAAAAAAATAAATAAAATAAAGTTAAAAGTTATTAAATAATTTTTTTTTTTTCCAAAATGCAACAATTCCTTCTCATTCCATTCGAGAAAAAAAAAATTTATTTTTATTTTTTTCCTTGTGGTGTTGTTTGTGGTGGAGGAGAGAGTAGTAAATATGTAAAAATAGGAATTATGGGGGAAGGAAAAAGGATTTGAGGAGAAGAAAAGAAAATAAATCATTTAAATCGTGTTTCATTTTTTTTTTGAATGGGTATTTTTAAATTTACCGAGGAAAATATAAGAGAAAAAAAAAACGCAAGATAGTTTTTGCGTTTTCCATAAAAAAATTTTTTTTTTTTTGGTAATTGGCCACTTTTAATGCTCAATTTAGGAGACGCCAGTTGTTGTTTTCTGTTAGTAGAGTTTTTATTTTCTTTTATAGTAAGATTAGTTCTCTCTATGGGGGATTCGTATTCACTTGATTTTAAATCCTTTAGGAAGGGCGATTAAAAATTTTTTTTTAAAAAATCCGATCTAATAGGAAATGTATTTTAGCATGGGTGGAACCCTATAAATTTCAGCCAATGACATTTTATTGTTTTTTTTTGTAAAAATTTATTATGAAAAATCCATATAAAAATTAATATAAATTAGAAGAAGCGGTTGACGAATCTTGTGATGAATCCGAATTGCAAAGATTTTCGGGAAAATGATAAGTCGTCCTCATATATATACATTGTAAGGTTCGGATATATATGACTTCATATGTTATGGAACCTTTCTATGGCTCTCTGAAACATTTTGGGATACCTCACTCCCACGATACCCAAGATAACTATTGTAATTTGAAAAAAAATTCTTTAAATAATTTCAAGTTATGTAAATATTGTTTACACAAATATTTTGATCACATTTATTTGCAATCGACCAATAATTCACTGGCTACTTCAACATAGATTAGCCCTGGATAAAATTAAAGGTCTTCGAAGGTAGAAAGCTTTTAACTTATTTCCGGTTAGAGAAAATATCTTGATAAAAGAAAGCAGATAATCAACACATATATCAGACTATTTTCTGATAAAGATTTTGAAAAAAATTTTTTTTTTGATGAGATCAGATTCTAAATGGAGTCAGTCGAAGATGATTCATTCAAGCTTTTTTTTTTAAATTAGGATTATTCTTACCATCTTCTGCGCCAGTTGAACGTGCATTTTAGCACGGCTAAAGATGATTATCGTCAAAAGATCTCTCGTCCATCATTTTTTTAGGAAAATTTTTGTATCGTATATTTAATTTTTCGAGTAACGACTAACGCGTTACTTTCTGAATAGCCAGTAACGAGCGTTCCCCTTTTTTTCACAAGGTAACGAGTAAGGGAAACGCGTTCCTTAGCACAAGAAAAATAGGTAAAAATTCAAATAATTTAAAATAATGACTTATTATTCAAAATTTTTTGGTAAGAGGAGCATTTTTCTATATATAAAAAGGGAAAAAAACCAAAATTACTCATAGAGAAATGTCATAGCCAAAAGCCTTGCAATATGCGTGCGGACTTAAAGATCTCAAAAAAATTTAATAGGAAAAACCCAACCTGTTCTAGCCCCCCATCCCCCAGCAAAATCTTGGTTATGTGTATGATCTAGCTATCTAAAAATAGTTGTCTAATTATATTTATATAAAATAATGTTAGCAGCTATTTCTTTATAAACACATTTTGTGATATACTTTTTAATTATATATATATATTTTTTTAAATTTAATCCTAATTTTTTATTAAATATCTGTCCAAGTTTATTCCTATCATATTCAAAGATAAGCCTTATTTTACACAATGGATGACAAAAAAAAATATGCTAAATATATTATTGATAATAATCTTTTAGATATTGTTAATTTTTAGATGATTAATATTATAGTGATATCAACAGAGCATCTGAAGATTTTTCATTGTTGAACTTGGCTTCCAAATGCCAAATTTAAAGAAGAAAAAAAAAGAAGGAATTATAGAGCAAAATTAGTTAATAAACTTTCATAGTTTTTAAATAATACAAATCACAGAAAAATAATCATTTACCAAGAGGATAAGGATATAAATTTTAACAACACCTATTAAATGTTGAATTTAATTTTAAAATGGGTATTCTGATTAGAGACCCAGCTGTTAAAAAAAAATTCAGGGCCGATCTAAATTTATCCATTTTATGTTGAATTTTTTATGTAAAATAAAAATATTTAATTTTATTTATAGAAACTAGATGCCATATGACATATTTTTTATTTTGGGTATAATAATTTTTAAAAAAGGTTTAATTTCTACATTTAAATAAATTCGGGCTTGGCCGGCAAAACTTTTAAAAATAATTTCGAGGCTTGAAAAATTAGGGCCAATCAGGTCACTAATTGTGATTTTACTATATTCATAAAGTATAATACCACACCTTCCAGTTCATCAGTTAAAAAAAATAGTGTTTAAACTAAGATGACCCGGTGATGAAAACTATGGGAATATTTTATATCTAAAGGCTAGCAATAATATTTTATAGTCATTTATTTTACATATATAATCTATAAATAAAAATTCAATTTAAATCTATTACTATGTATTCGTATCTAGATACATTTGATTTAGAAAACATTTTTTTTTAACAACTCTGATATTTATAAAGTAAATTATAATGGTGTATTTACATTTTATTAAATAGTACCTTCTTGTTAGTATTTATTTGACTATTAATATTATTATATTTTTAAAAAAACAAAAGAAAATTGATATGAAAGGTTATACATGGAAAGGTTGAATATGATAAAAAAAAATATATCAATATACTTTCATTCAATGATAATAGTGATGAAAGTGATAAAAATAATCTGATTTTATAAGTATAATCTAAAATATATCTTGTGAAGAATATAAAAGATGTGAAAAATAAGAGTAATAAAAATCATTTAATCAAAAGAGGTACAACTTATTTTAATTTAGGTCTTTTATATCAGTAAGGGCTAAGGAGAGTATGTAGATTCATTTTAATGGCAAGGAGAGTATGTAGATTCATTTTAATGGGTTAAATTTATATAAAAAATATGGGATAAAATTGTATTTAATATTTTTAACATGCTATTATATAATTTTATTATAATATTTCTATAATGATTATATTATCCATTTTGTAGATTTAAATGTTTATTAGTTTTATTTCATTGTCAATTTGTTCTATAACTATGAATTCAGGGTTATTTGATGTATTTAAAAATTTGAATAGATTTGGAATAAATTGGATTACATGTTAATCTTAAAAGCCAAAATATCAAAACTAATACCCAAATATAATAGTATATTTGATTAATTATAACAATAATATTAGGCTTTCTTGTTTTAAATTATATAGTGTATGCTATATGGATAGAAAAATATTTGCATAGTAAGACAATTTTATTTAAATTAGAAAAAAAATTTTAATATAAAATTTCTTGCACTTATATTAGTTGAAATATATTATGGCAATTACCTAAATTTATAAAATAAAGATGCATACTTATTCAATATTGCTAGTAAATTATTAGAAAGGATAATAGAATTTCTAAAATTATAAAACAAGACTAAAATATTTTTAATTATCATAAAGGATATAAATATATTATAATAATCATAATAAATTTAAACAAATAAATTAAACATATATGAAATATTTACCTTTTCATTATGGATTCTAATTTTAAGTTGGTACCTCAAACTTTTTTATTATTTTTACATATGTTTAACATTTAAACCGCAATATCTATTTATAGATTATGGTAAAATCAATTTTTAAATTATTTAAAAATTTATAGTATTTTGTCGCTATTTAAATAGAAGAAATTTCATAGATAATTAATTAATAAATTTAATAATACAAACAAATTATCTGGCTCTTACTGATGATTCTACTTTTTTAATTTTTCTATTTTAAAGTTCAGTGGCCCCAACGAATATCTGACACATTGGGGTGGGCACCAGCAAAGAAATAAAGGGGTATCACCAGTTCTTTTATCTTGAGCTACTTAGATACCCATAGACCAAAAAATAATACTATTATATAAAATATACGTAAATGTATTTAATGATGCAAATGTCTATGAAATGTGTAATTAAATTATTACTCAATATATGTTTTCTAAAACGGATGTGGAGCATCGAAGGGTGGTGGGAGTGGATAATTGGTTAGTTAGATGGGAAGATTCTAATAAATCCTCTACCGTAGATCAAACCCTTAGTTTGGATCTTCAATGGCTATTTTTTTGAGGTCTTTAAAAATTTATAGACGTTGTCCAAACCAAAAACAATCATGTTATTTAATAATGAGGAAAGTTATAGAGTTGAAAAACAATATTAAACCCATTACATTTTTATACACTGTTATATGATGCCCATAAACTCAATCTTGTGCTAAATAATACAATTGAACAATAGCGTCACTGTGAAGGGGGAGCGCAGGGCTTGGGCCCCCTAAAAAAAATTTGAAAAGCCTCTTCAAAATTTTGATTTTTTAAAATACCAAATGTAAGTTTGAAAAAAGGTAATTTTGGATAATGTAAGCTATAAAAAATGAGATTGTAAAGGCTAGTAACGGCTCTGCAGCTAAATCCCTACAATGTTTCTTTTTTTAGCTTTCCAAATATTAATTTATTTTCATAGAGCAATTACCATAACCTGCTAATTCTAATTTTGAAATGATAATATAAAGAAAAATTACACCCATCGCTAAAATTCAGTTGTGGATGTGGAGAGCAAAAGTTTATTTGGGATGCTTTTTTTGAGTTTAAAATTTGTTTTTTTATAAGCCATTAAAAATAAATTCCCTACAAATTTTGGTTTTGGATTTTTTTCTATAATTAATTAGTTGAAATTTTTAAAACAATATATTTCAATGTATTCCTTTCGTAAACTCTTCCAAAGCATGTTCCAAAATTTATATTTCTTAATTTGCAATACACTTAAAATATTATTATATCCTAGTCCTATGCTGTTTTATCTTGATCGTCTGAACGTTTTATTTGCTAAAACGTATCAAAACGTATATTCGATTTACAATGAAAGATGGTCTCGTAGCAGAGTTGTACAAAAGATCTTCTCTGAAGATTTTTGAGCCAGATCTAGCTCAAAAATTTGAGCAAGATCTTTGAAGATCGTAAAATTTGAAGATCTTTTATTTTTTAAAAATTTTGTGTAACGATCTTCAAAGATTGGGTGAATTTCTATTGGTTTCTATTATGTCCTTTACAAAGCTGTTCTTATTAGAACAATTTGAATTAAATCTAAATATTTACAGAGCTACAAACTGGATTTTTTACAAAACAAATTTCAGCATAACTGACCACCTCGTGCAATTTGTCTAAGGTTAATTATACTAATAAATGAAAAATGTAGAATGCAGTTACAAAATATTTGCCCTTAGCACTATAGGTTTAGCAGGGAAGGGACAAATGCAAATCTCCCCCATTAGAAATTTGCATGTTTTCGTAAATGTCATTTTCAGCTATTAAAAATTTTACATCTACACACACCCAACCTCTTCTCCTCCAAAATTGTATATATTATATAACTATTTTAAAAAAATTTAAATAAAAATTAGTTAATGTTAATAATTTTTAAAATAACAGCTATTTTATAATTTTTAGTAAAAAAAAGGTTTTCATAAAAAAACGAAGTGCAAATCCAAAATTATTTAAATTGTTTTTACAAAAATATAATGTAGTCAAAGGTCTAATAAGTGGATTGGTTGTATAATCTTATCATTTTTTATTAACGCCCATATATCTTTTTTTTAACCTATTTTGATAGGCATGAGAAAAATCAAGCGTAGCTCTGAAGTTTTTAACAACATAAATTGGCGATGCGCTTAAAGAATAACGACAATTGAAGTTATTCTTTTTATAATCATAAATGATCTACTATCAACTATATAATAGGTCCATAAAAAAAGGTAATTTTTACAGCTACATTTTGTCCTATTTTATCTAAAAAATTATTAGATAACCCTCCACTTTATTCTAACCCAGCATACCCCCTTAAAAGCCTACCCCCCCCCCCCCCCCATGGAAACAAATTGTTTGTCCCCGTCTCCCTAGTCTATCCTCGCTCATGTGCAGGGTTGCCAGGTCAAAATTTTCAAATTGCGGGAGAAATTTGGTATTACGTGGGAGAAATATGAAAATTGCGGTAGAAATATAAAAATTGCTAAAAAAAATTTTTTACGGGCTTTTGAATTGACTTAATTATCCGCCTATTATTTTTATAATAATTACAAAGTCGGTAACTATTTTTCAAAATAAAATAACATCTTGATTAATTAAAATATATTAATTTAAAAAAAACCAACCATCTTTTTTAAATATAATATAATGTAACAAGATAAAATTTTATAAAAAAACGATTTTAATTTTACAATTAAAAATATATTTTATGCGAATGTCCCGCAAAACGACCGCAATTAGAAGTCTACCGTGTGTATGTATGTGTGTGCATAACATAAATAGGCACTTAATTATCACATATCACGTTTAAATACATAATTAAGTACTCTAAAAATAAGAAATAATACAGATGCAACTACAGTTGCGGCAATTGTAATAACTTATCTTATAGTACAACATTCACAGAGATACTTATCAACACAATGTTAGTATAATTTTTTCCCCATAATATTTAACGACTCTAATAAAAATGAAAACTATACTTGTAGAACAAAAATGAGAAAGGCTATCATCAATGTTTTAGGACCTAAATCCAGGAGGTCAATTCCTGACGATTTGAAAGATGGGCATACATATGCAATTCTAACAGATGCATCCAGTGGCGTAGCTAGGAATTTTCCTTAGAGGGGGTCCATACATATAAAAGCTGGGGGGCGGGGGGCTCAGCCGGGTTTATCTTACAAATAATAACTATATCTTCGATTATATATAATAAATATATTTTTTAAATGCATCAATAATATGTTATTATAATTTTGTAGATTATTCTCAATGACTTTATAATAATACTATCCAGAATAATTTCAATAGTAATATAATATCCTTCCACAAACATCAAAACCAGAAAAATATAATTCATATAAAATCACTTTTAAGTCTTTTGAACGTATAATCTAAAAAAAAAATTTTGCTCTGGGAGGGGTCCAAACCCAAAAACCACCCCCGTAGCTACGCCACTGGATGCATCTAATAAGAGAAATATTAAAATATCTCCCTTTTCCTCCGCTATTTCAACAAAATTAAGGTCGTTTCAATAAAACTTTTAAATTTTTTCCCCTCAAATAGTAAAAAATTCAAGGACTTAGCTAACTATATAATTGTATATAGCAGATTCGAGATTATCAATAAATTGCATGTCAGCTTTCTGATCTGATAATGCCTCAGTGAGTTTGGTAAAACAGAGTGTATTTACAGAATTGAGTTAGCACAATGTTGGTTGCAATAGTTCCTAATACCCGCAATCGATAGAATTGTAAAATTTTATACACCTTTAAAAAAATATTTCTTAAATAAAGATTATAAAAGCTGTCCTAACATTTTGAAAATTTTTTTCAATAATAAATGGCAGAGGTATATTTAGGAATGATTTCACATGTAGGAAATCTATTACATGCTGTTAATATGTAGTAGCAATCAGAAGAATCTTAATAAAGATTCACAAAATTATTCAGAAGATGTTTTAATATTTACACTTAATAATTGATAATAAATTTTATAGCGCCATTGCTAAAACTTAATTATATTTTATTTGAGATTTAGATAATAGAACTAAATGTTTATCGTCGTTATTGAGATATTTATAAAATTCCTGGCATGACATATTATATATTTGTTTAACCATTAGCTCGGCCTCTGATGTTGTTAAAGCAATCCGATTTCTCTTCTTTTTCCAGGCAGTCCTCATCAGGCTAAAAATGTGCTCGGATGAGGCATTAGAATGAGGTAAGGAGATGACATTCTCGCATATTTTTTTCAAGCATGGGGATTTATCATTATTACCAAAAAATTCTACCCATTTCTCCTCTGCTTTTAACCATCGAACTTTAAGTATTTTGGCTATCATAGAATTACAATCTCCTTAAACAATACATCATTGCCTTTCGATATTTTTAATATATCTATATTATAATTTTCCGATGTCCTCACTACGTCACCGTGACGTCATGTCATCGCTACCTCATGTCATCGGTACGTATTTATTTTTATTTTTTTTATTTGTTGATTTTATTTATTTATTTTATACAAACAGATGAATGGAATTTCGAGAATTGATGGTGTACACATACCTAACATGGATTGAGAGATTTGAAAAATCGTCTTTGAATTGATAAAAACAATATTCCTTCAACTTTGTAAATATGAATGAAACTTTTTATTTCACTTAATCCTTTCTTTATTTTTTAGATTACCTTATCAATTTTCATCTCATATTATCAATTACACATTAATGAAATCTCTACAAGACTCAACTTGTATATTAATTTTGAACATACTCACAATTTTTGTCAGTACTTACATTACAATTTTTTATACACATATTTTTCTTATATAACCAATAATTAAGAAGATAACCAAGTATATTCAAATATTTAAATATTATTATCCTAACCTATTTACAATCTCCAATCCTTATAAATAAGTCTTTCTTTATTTTTTTCCCCTCCCTTAATGAATTTATTATCTCATTCTTTTCTTTCTATCTCTATTATCTATTAACAACTATTTCTCAAAACTTTATCAATTCCTTTAATTTAATTTAATTTAATTTTTATAA